AAATTGATTATTTTGCTCAAATATGTGAAATGCAGAAAATAATGCAGACAGTTACGAAATGAATAAACTGGCTCATTTAACCACAGTAGTAAATATCTTTTTCATTTTCATTGGAATGGAATGCGAGACACTTTTTCTGCTGCTCACGTTTTATAGGTGATCAAAGTGTGTATAGGATAAAGGTGTGTGTATATATAGTTTATTGTCTTGTTAGTTTAATGCCTAAAACAGATATTTTATGGGAAATGTGCTGTTCTGCAGGTGTGCTTTGACCACAAACCCAGAATAATCAGCAAGACTAATAAAGATGACCCTTCAGTTTGTTCTCATCCTGTGACAAAGCATGACTTTGAGGATCATAAGTAAGTGAATCGCCATTTCAGCACATGAAACCATCTTCATTTTATTTGTGACTTAAAGGATTTACTCTTACAGTGTTTAGATCTTAGAATATGAAGATATTCTGGAAATACATAAGAATTATGTATTTATATGTATAAATTCTTTTTGAAGGTGCCTGGTCCACATTTTGAAAGAGAATACAGTCCGGTATTCCAAAATAAGACCCTTGAGTCCCCATTGCCAGCTGGATCTTTGTCGCCACGAAGTCCGGTACGGTTGCGTGAGAGAGGATGACTGTTTCTACGCCCACAGCCTCATCGAGCTGAAGGTCTGGATGATGCAGCACGAGCTTGGTAAGACTATTCTTTGAAAATGATACAAGAACTGGGTGGTATTGCATCTGAAATGCTCCCTTTTCTTTCCCATAAAAGACTGTAATTTTAAATGCTATGTTTTGAAATATAAATCAAATTACATGGATATTTGGTTTTCTGGATTACACAGGTATCACTCACGAAAACATTGTCCAAGAGGCTAATAAGTTTTGGAACGCAACAGCTTCATTGCAGGGAGCTCAGGTAAAACCAGTGTTTGTTTTTTTTTTTTCCTTTCTCTTATAGGTATTTCTACATTAAACATACATAAAATAACAATAAGAAGAATTGTATTGATCCCAAAGGAAAATTCCTGTCTCTGACATATGAATTTAATGGTTAAGTGTAAAACATTTGTTTTACATTTAACAATAAGGAAATGAAGAACCCGTATTTTAGACAGTTTTTTGTCCTGAATTAAAGTACAGTGGAGGAAGTAATTGTTTGATGCTCTGCTGAATTTCTTTTTTGCTCACAAAGAAAAAAAAGTCTCTAATTTTTATGGTATATTTATTTTAATGGAGACAACATTTCAATCAAAAAAAAAAATGATTGCATAAATTGATTTGCATATCAATGAGTGAAATAAGTATTTGATATCCTACAGCCCAAACAGAATTCTGACTCCCAAAAATTGGGCAAGCAGCCATTTAGTCAGTTACAGATACTTGTGCTCTCACAGAGAGCCCTTTTTCCACTAGTAAGTACTTGGGTCAGCTCGGCTCAACTCAACTCCTTTTTAAGGGCTTTCCATTAGGTGATAGTACCTGGAACCTTTTTAGTACCTACTTGGCTGGGATTCCAAGCAATCTGAGGCAGTCCGACCATGTGACCGCATGCCACTGATTGACGTCACTTGATCAGTCATGAGAGCGTCTCCTTTATGAAAATAAAAACATTCAACATCCATTCATTTAATTCTTTTAGTTGTTTCATTGTTGCGAAGGGGAAATTTATATTTAGTCACAGATTTTAACAAGTCCTTTAAAATATAATCAGCAGCTTCCCAGTGCACTGAGAAGATTTGGACCTCCGAATCTGAAGATGATGTTTGTTTGTGGCCAGTGCTGGAGAAACGGCCAACTAAGTGAAGCTGACAAAAACAAGAAGTATTGCACAGCCAAGGCAAGACACACGTAAGTATTTGGATGTCTTTGTGTACGTGGGGGACTACAGTCCATTATGTCATTATTGAGTCACGCTGTCTTTCTGTCTCAGGTGGGCAAAAGACAGGCGGGTGGTGCTTGTAAGTTCCCATGAAAGGAAAAAGTGGACAACTGTAAGACCGCTTCCAACCAAAAAACCCATTCCATCTCAATTTGAGGTATGTTTCCAGCACCGTCTTCCCATCTTATATTTGCCAGACATATAATATATTCAGATTTGGAATAATGGAGACCAAATGTTTTCTGGTCTCTGTTTAGATTTGCATGCATGTGACAGCTGGCAAGAAGTGTCAGTACATTGGGAACTGCACATTTGCTCACAGTGTGGAAGAAAGAGACCTTTGGACCTACATGAAGGAAAACAACAGTGAGTTTTGTTGAAGCGGTTGGCTCTCTTAATGTGTAAAATTTAATTGGTGAATGTGACGTGGCAAACACATTATGTCCCTTCATTTAGTTGGAGATATGGATCAACTTTATGAGCAATGGCTGCAGTCTCAAAGGCCTGGCTGGGGTGATGAAACTTCCACTAACTCGGTCAGAGAAAATGGGAAACAGATCCACATGCCAACTGACTACGCAGAGGAAGTGGTGAGTTGATAAGTTAGTGGATATGAAATGTAGTTCAGTGGCATCTAGTTAATATTGTGCTCAGGGATGTTTGCAGCTAGACTATTAAATTGTGGTTCTTTCCCTAATTTGCAAGTAAACTACACTACCTGGCAGTTTAATCATTCCTATTTCATTAATGTATAACAACACGGTATTTGTGTGGATGCTATTTCACCTTGTTTTTTAGATTGTCCCTAATGATTCCTGTTTCCTGGTGAGTTCTGCCTTTTAGATAAGTTGGCAGTTTTTAATCGACTAGTACACTAAAGTGTACTTGGACCGAGTGATGCATATATGCCAGAATACATTTGAACGCTGTGCATTATGTCCTGGCTTGCTTTTTGTTTTGGGCCCAGGTGTGGTGTGATAGGTAGTATGAAGGTTAACCAAGCCCAAGCGTGGAACACTTTCCTCGGTGAAAACAGAGGACCAAAAATTGCCCAAATTAAGCCAAAGAGTGCATAAAGTTATGAATCTCATTGTGTTCATACATACTTGGAAGGGGTGTCTGAAAGAGAGAGTGAATGGGCGTTCGAAATGGGAGCTGAAATGGTGAGAATTATACTTGGGCATAGATCCTTAACCAGAATGTGAATTTGGGGTAGAATTGAGAGGAATAGCTATGTGGGGACTGGAGTACAAGCCTGTGCTTACTTTAAGTACACTCTTGGGCCTGGATTATATTTCCTGCGTCCGTGTGATCGCTAAAGTCTGTGTGATGTAAATTAGTCATCAGACTAGACTGAGTTATGAGGATGTGGATGTCTGTGTTTTTTGTGGCTGTGTGGATTCGTATATAAAGAATTTACATTATAATACACTAGCTACACATGCGCCTCAGGCAGCATACTTCAGAATTATAAGCGGAAAGTCTATTTGTGTCCTATTCAGTAGAATGTAATTGAGGCTTTGTTCAGTGGCAACATCCCTAATTATGCATCCTGAATTATGAATGTCTTAATTTTTTTTTAAATGAAAGCAAAGCCAGTGCTGAATTTCGTTAAATGTGCCTTTTTATTTATTGGCCATGAGGTCAAAGGTCAAATCCTGTATAAGTCTATGGAAAACTATCCCTCAAGCTGACCTCTGTAAAGGCGTTCTTGTCGAGTTCAACAAGCTCTGTCACTTGTTCAGTTTTATTGTATAGAACATTAAGTTCTTTTTGGAAATGTTATTCTAAGCATTGTGGCAATTATCGAGGGTTTCTGCTTGAATAGGTGTTAGCCAATTAGCATATGGTTTTACAATCCTATTCGGATGGCACTCGTCGCATCCAGCTTTAATTGAACAAGATGGCCAGTGTGAAAGTTTTATGTAACAGGGCTTCGCCAAATAGTGGGTGATACCATGATCGCTAAATCCATCATTTATCCTGTCTTTCATGAAAGTGTTTTCATTAACAACAATGTTATTCTGTTCTTAGTGCTATTTATTGATGAAGCAGAAAATAGTTGGATCTAGTGTGTCTACCCTGCATATTTTGATGAAATTTCTAAAATGTATTTATTTGTTAATTAATTAAATGGAATTGTTTCTGCAGGCTGGCAATCATTGTTGGCTCTGTGGTAAAAACTGCAACAGTGAGAAGCAGTGGCAGCAGCATATCACTTCAGAAAAACACAAAGAACGAGTTTTCAACTCTGAGGATGATCAGAATTGCTGGCAGTATCGATTTCCCACAGGCACTTTCAAAGTTTGTGAGAGGTAGGTTTATCAGACACAACGTGTACTATATGTGTCTTGTTACGAGTCTAATTGTTTTCGATGGTTGACATTTGCTGTCACTTTTTGGCAGGTTCCTCAAAGGCACGTGCACAGAGGATGACTTGTGTAAGCTGGCTCACGGGGAGCAGGAACTAAAAGAATGGAGGGAGCGCCGGGAATTCCTTTTGATGAAACTTGCCAAAGCCACAAAAGACCATCTTATAGCACCAAATGACAATGACTTTGGAAAATACAGTTTTCTGCTTAAAGACATTAAATAATGACGTGATCACAATATTCATGCACACTTGCAAATGATGCAGTATTCAGTCTCGAATCAGGTCATCTTTGAGGGCCTCTGACCTGCACAGGAAATAGCCTGATCACAGCATGATTTTAGAGGAGGGCATACAGAACAGGCCCCCTGAATGGTGGCTGTTTGCTCTGATCAGAATTACAGGAGTGTTATCATTAAAAGCAAATACTGAGTGTTAAAACACTTTCCAGAAGCTTTGCAGTGCACCATTCTGTCATACCTGAAAATGGTGGGGAGGGGGGAAGCATGAGTAAACCTTGATCAGAGTCATGTTCAGATTCTTACAGTTGACCTAAACAAATTTTTTTCTCCACAAACAGTTTGTATATGTTAAAGACCTTTTACTGTTTTAAGTATCAATTACTTAAAGAGTTGAGTTGACATTCTTTTATTTTAATCAGTAAACATAGGTCATCTTCACTTTCAATTTATCTAATAGTGTTACCAATGTAATGGGCACCACACCAAATAAAGCTCCTTTTTTAATCTGTTTTGAAATGGCTTTTATTTAAGCATACACATGTACAATTCCAGTAACTAAATACAAAAAGGTGTCTATCTCACTGTAATCATTATGAAAGCAGTTTCATACATTGTTGGTTATTGTATTGTCTTATAATGGTCCATATATTATGAGCCTGTATGTTACAGGTAACATTGTTAGAGTTGAACTAAAATCATTTACATTAAACAAGCTCAGAGCAATCCTCAGTGATGGCTTTATGCACAATGGGGAGTTTTGAACTCTCATGTCAATACTGATGCAGTGTTTTAATAAAGACCTGATGCATTATTGAAAAGTTTTTTGACCATGTTTACTTAACAAAGGTATTCTGAAAAAGAGTCAAAACCTCAAAACGGTACTAATATAATGAAGATAGGTTTTGTTTTGTTTTTTTTTGGTCAAGGTTAAGTTATCCACCTAACAGCTCCAGTGACAACTTTGGATTAGGAGCCACACACACACCAGTTTTCTTAATCACTTGACCTCCAAACAAGTCCAACAGAAAGGAAAGTCATCTTTTAAGTCTGCTGAGGTAACATTTGACACTTCAGTAGTATGTAGCAAGCTACAGGAGGAGGAGCACTTCAACCCAGCATTCAAGCCAGCACCTGCTGCAGGTCATCCACCTCAAGCTTCCACATCCGTCTGTGAAGTGCAGCAAGCTCTGAGAGGTCTGCCATCTTCACTGCACGGATGACTGGCTCTGGTGAGATCGCCTGAATGATGCCCATCACCATGACATATTTCCCTGTAAGAACAGCAGCAAGTGGTGAACTGTTGACCGACAGTGATTTCAATGGTAAATCGTGGTTGGAGAGATAAATCTGCCAGCTTGCTGCCACAGATCTTAGGATTAATGCTCTCCTTTCAGCCTAACAAGCTGTGCACTGATGAAAATATTCACATTAACCAGGATTCTCATGAATTCAATAACAGGCCACTGATATCTAGAGTGAAAATGATCTCATTTAAAAATTGTTGTTCAACTACAGCTTTTGAACTTGCACTGTGTTAAAACTTTATTAGAATTTTAAAATACAGGTCTGAGTTCATTAACAATAGTAGTTGTACTTTTTATTTGTAATTAAAAAAGAGCCTATCCTGTTGATTTTTTTTTCTTCTATTAAGATACTTCTTAATAACTTCTAGAATGTAATGTCATTTTGTGTTTGATTCTGTGTCACTAGATAAAAATGCAGTAAATGGGGACAAAGCTATATTTTTCTCTTTAACCAAACACAATGTACGTCCCCTTTCTAATTGGTCCCAATAATAATGACTAAGCAACAAAAGCAGTTTCTTTTCACCTACCGGTATATATGCCTAATAGCCATTAATTGTTCTCTTAGGGGGAAAGGTTATTTAATTTTAGCTTCTGTGTGGATTGAAACAGAATCTAGTATGGGTCTGGGTCAGTTACCTTGGGACAAGCACGGTTTCCCTTTGGGGATGTTGTTAACACCCTGAACAATGAAAGTCCCCGTCTCATCCATCAACAGCACGGTGTCTCTGTCCTGCTGGACTTCCAGCACAGTCCCCTGCATCCACACCCGCGAGACAGGCAAAGAGCGTCCCCTGCCCAGTCTAATTACACAGCTGGCCCCGCTATCAGCGGTGCCCCAGTTCCCTGCCGCCCTCAGCTGTCCCGACAGCACTTTAACAGGCGGGGGACGTGTCCTTTCCACGTCTGTCTTCTCTACTTTGGACATCACTGACAGACTGCTGCTGGCGTCAAGCGACGGACAACTTGCGAGTTGCGACAGCGTTTTCATTTCCCGCCTCCCCACGAGCGGAAGTCGTGCCAGCACTCTTTTCCGGCAATAAAACACGCCCTCGCCTGATTCCTTCAGAGTAAAAGCATCAAAACTGAACTTCAATCACAGGTAGGTGAATAGGAGGGAGCATATGATAGAGGGGAAATTCACAGATAAAACATTTAATTAGTGTAACTGTCATTTCCGTATTGTTTGTAAGCGTCACAGAGGGAATCTCCGGGCATCAAGTCCATTTGTGAATGTTACAAAGTTTTAGTCTGCTGTGATAAAGAGCTAAAACCTTGTATAGAAATCAGCCTGACAAACTGTGATAATGAATGAAATGTACAGTAGCGTATGTTTACAATCCGACAATCCTGAAGCTATATTAAAAAAATAATATGTTTTTTTAAAATGGACAAAATAGAAAGTGTCTCCATTGATATTTTTGTTTTTCTTTTAAATACTGATAGCCATTTATGCAAGATTGCTGCAAAATATGGCTTTAAAACAATTTGTTAAACTGAATTTGTGTTTGATTTCTTCAGTTTAAGCATCTTCATTATAATGGTTGTGATACTTTAATCAAAAATAATAAGGAAGGGAAACCAAGAAAAAAACATGTACATCTGAGTCCAAGGAGCAGCTCATTTTGTTATTTAAATCCGATGCATACTCCATGGATGCATAGGAATAGCTCTGACTGCAGCATAATATTCACTAAAGCCACATGGGAGGGGGGTCTCAACAACAGCTTTAGTTGCATATTATAGGGGTGAGTGATGCTGATTAATATTACTGTGAAAAACACTGCTCGAATAAACAAAATGAAAAACCACAAATTAATACTAATTAAACATACCAACAACTGCTGTTGTTCAGCTCCTAAACATACAGAGTTTATTAATCTGCCAAAAAGTGTTGAAGACTAATGAACACTACATAATGCCACTCTGGACATGACAATAATCATGACAAATGAGTTTATTACTAGAATTTATGCAACTCACCTCCGCTATGACAAGACTAATAAGTCATTTTGAGAAAGTTGCATAATGTGGTTTATAGATTCAGCTTCACTTCCACCCCTCATTGTGTAACTTTTCCCTGAAAATTAAGGGTTTGGAAGTCTGAAGATTTCAAGTCCATAATAAAACTTTCTGTTGGCTGTTTAATACGAAGCAAGCACTTCACATCACTACGGGGCTAATAACAGAGCAAAATCCTGGAGGAAAACATGCTGCAGTCTGCAAGAAAGCTGCTACTCTGGAGATTTATTTGTCTGCAAGACAATGACCCACAACAAGAAAGCCAAAGCTGCACAGGATTGACTTTAAAGGTTCTGCAGTGGCACATTCCAGACCTCAATCTAATTCACAATTTGTGGCAGGACATGAAAATTGCTGCTTGTTCACAGCCTCTATTCCACTAGACAGCACGAGCAGTTTTTTGCCAAGAGAATTGGAAAGAACTGCATCTGTTCTTAAGTGTAAAACTTGGAAAAATAAAATAATGCAGACGAAGTTTGCGTGGATTTAATACTGAACGGAGAAGACAGACAGCAATGATCTGGCACATTCAATTCATTAAATATTTTTTTTTATTTCTTTAAGAATAACTGAAGAAAAGTGTTAGCAATTTCTGTACATTTTTTTTGTAATTGTTTTCCCTTGGATTTGCTGAAAACCTTGAATGATCAACAGGGCTGAGAAATGTTATGCTGCCACATAGTGCACTTTAAACCTAAAAAGAATATGATTAGTCCACAGGCATCCGTCAGTGTCCTTGGAATACACTCCAAGAGGTTCCTTAAACTGCTGACACTGCTGACTCCAGTTTCATGTTATCATCTCCTCTCAATCCCAGTTCATCATTGTCAAAAAAGAGGCACATTAGAAATACTGCCATTTTCCAAGGACTGTGTCTTTGATTGCATCGACAAACTGTGCAGGCACCCAGTAGACCCAATACTGCGAAGCTTCCGTTGGACCCAGCTGAAAAGCCTGCAAAGGTGGAAGACAAACTGGTAAGTACATTAAGTGGTTTCAGAGGCATTTGCAAATGTAAACACGTATTGAGAATAAATAAACACATTGTGTCTTGTATAGATTTTAAAAGCAAATTTAATTTATAGAAAAAAAAACTTATTTTGCAATAAATAAAATTCAACCACTTGCATTATGATCAGATGTTAAGACACAAAAATCTGGACTTCAGGAAGCCTTAAACATCTACTGTCATACATACTCACTGGATACTTTATCAGGCATACCTATTCTAATGCAACTCAATGCATTTAAGCACATAAACATGGCCAAGACTAACCCCAGAAGTTCAAACCGAGCACCAGAATGGGGAATAAAGGTGATTTAAGAGATTGTGAACGTGGCATGAATGTTGGAGAGATGCTGTCAACTGAATATGACATGGACCAAAATCTCCAAGGAATGTTTCCAGTACTTTTTTGAATCTGCACCACTAAGGTAGCTCTAAAGGAAAAATGGGGTACAACCCAGTACTAACATGTTGAGTGTGTGCAGTGCCTCTTAGAAGCCCTTTCAACACAAAGAGAGTCATTTATTATAATCCACTAAAATGTTATTTTTCAATTTAATATGATATAGTATGCTTAATGTAAAAACAGCCACTGTACTGAATCTTTCTTTTATTTTAAAGTAAACAACCTGGCTAACCAAATCCAATGTTTGGCTTTTATCTTTCTTCTAGCTTAAATCATTCCCATCTGCTCGTCTATCTGCTTTGAATATGTTTTCAACTGTTCAGTGATGCAAAAACACACTCGGAGGAAGCTGCAGGCATCACTTTTCATTTTTGAGCCAAAAACATGACAACACAAAGCATTGTTTTGACTCCACTATCATACATTTGAATATCTCTGCTCTACAGCTGTAACATTATCTGCATTTAGATCTGTTACACTGAGGGTGATATCTGATGAGGTGGTAATAAAGCTCAATACCAGGGAAGTCCCTCAAAGCCCCACTTATATGTGCTCAGACATTATACTATTTAATTGGATGCACTCATGTGAAGCTGCTATGAAATTCAAACAAAATTACACAGAGACATACTTTGGTCTCACAGTCTTTTTTGGTGTATTGATCACTTCTATACACACACAAAGTATCTGCTTGTTCTGATGTTGTTAGCCATTTCTGGGTACAAAGACTCCAGAACAGCAAGATACTCCTGAGAGTGAAAAATAATAATAATAATGGATTGCATTTATATAGCACTTTTCGGGACCCCTCAAAGCGCTTTACAATACCACTATTCATTCACTCTCACATTCATACACTGGTGGAGGCAAGCTACAGTTGTAGCCACAGCTACCCTGGGGCAGACTGACAGAGGCGAGGCTGCCATATCGCGCCATCGGCCCCTCTGGCCAACACCAGTAGGCGGTAGGTGAAGTGTCTTGCCCAAGGACACAACGACCGAGAAGGTGTAACCGGCAACCTTCCGATTACAAGACGAACACCCAACTCTTGAGCCACGATTGCCCCAGATACTTCAGATTTGTTAATCTCCAATAAAATAATCAATGTGGCTGTTTGACTAGGTATTACAATAAAAAGCAATAACTGGATGAAGAAGGAGACTTGCAGCAATACAATTAACAATACTGTTAGTTAGCTCTAGATGTTATATCCTGTGTTGTTGTGCATTTTTTATATTAAAAACCCCAAACAAACAAGAAACAAACAACAACAAAAAGAACCAAAAAGTGTGTTTAGGAGGTTTTGTGAAGTTGGGCTAATTGCAATACTATAATGAGCTGTAGCTAGCCAGAGATCTATTGTAGGCTATTATGGACACTGGACAGGGAAGATCTAGGATGACAGGATGAGTATTAAACTGTCTGAGGGTCCTCCATCTTCCAATGGTTATCCCAGTCTAAATAGAGACCTCCCTCTTGCCAATACCTCTCCCAGCTCTTCCCCTGGCCACAATGAGGTGTTCCCAAGCCTGCAGAAGACATAATCTCTCCTGAATGTCCTGGATCTACATTGGGGCTTCCTCCCAGTGGAAAATGTCCAAAGCACCTCTCCTTTGAGGCGCCCAGGAGGCATCCAACCCAAATGACCAACTGTATCCTTTTGATATAGAGTGGCTCTACACTGTGACCAAGCTCCTCGCCCTATTTCTACCACTTGTATCAACAATCTTATTCTTTCAGTCACTACCCAGGGCTCACAGGTCATAGGTGAGGGTAGGAACGTAGACCGACTGGTAAATAGACAGCTTTGCTTTCACACTGAGTTCTTTCTTCACCACAACAGACCAGTACAGCACCCACATCACTGCTGCCACCACACTCTGTTAATCTCCCACTCCTTTTCTCCGTCACGTGTGAACACAGCTGAGACATGTGTTGAGGGTCCTGTAAGTGACCCTTTTGGTGTTTTTGTATCTATTCGCAAATCAAAAGAACAAGAGACAAAACGCTACAGCACTTTAAAAAGACAAGAACCCTAACCCTAGCTAGGAACAAGTGTCATTACATCACTACTTAACAAATGGATAGTATACCAACCAAAGAAACTTTTTTTTTAACTGAAAACCTTCTATTACAGTGACTCCATCGTTGAGGCACACATAGTTCAGTCACTTTAGAGAACAGCCACACCAGCTTTTTTTTTACCACACAAAAGATAGTTACCATCATGTGATAGTCCTCATGGCCTTCGATGGGTTCAGACACTATGTTTTTAATGGATCCCATTGGGACTTTCTCCGTCCTCTCTGCAGATGAGAAATTTAAATTATCGGCATCTTTATGTTGCAGTGCAGCTAGCAAAAGTAGGTTAGCTATAATCTTACCTTTTGTTCCAATCCACAACTGATCTTGCTCAAGCTTGAATGTGAGTCTAACTTTTCCTCCGGATTTGTTAAACATTCCGGATAAAGGCACTGTTGGTAATCGTTCCTGTTAAGCGGCACAAGACAGCTGTCAGTTGTGTTTAGTTGTGTATATTCAAACACACTGTATCACTGTAAAAGC